GTAGCACCGTCTTGTTGAAAGTAAACGTTGTCCACATCAATACCATCCAATTCCGGCCATAAAAAATCATTCATCATCTCTCGATAGCGCAATCCATTCACCGTAACTGTTGCTCCAGCCTCATTTTCGAAAAAGTAAGGTCCAATGACTCCGCCGGACCATAAACCGCACCAAACAGTCACACGTTGAGGATAGAGAGGCTTTTCAACAATAACTCTTGGGTTTTCCGAGCCCCAGATGCGACAATTTTGCTTGTTGACGAAGCCACCGAGGTGGAAATGGGCCTCATCACTCAAGATGATTTTTCGATGGAATTCCGGATCATTTTCATGCATTTCAACGACCCAATCAGCAAAGACACGACGTTGTTGATGATCGGACGGCTTGAGTTCTTGTGTTAACTGAAGTTTATAAGCCTTAAGACCCAAATCTTTATGCAAAATACGGTGTAATGACGTTTGTGGAATGCCTAATTCCAAAGAACGACGAGGAATGGACAAACCTGGGTTTTCTTCAACACTTTCGGCTACAGCAGCAATATTCTCGGCTGTTCTTGAGCGACGTGCACGGGTTTTATTCTTCACATCACTAACTTGTCCCAACAGCTCGAATTTTTCCACCAATTTCTGTATTGCGGTCCGACAAGGTGCTTCACGACGACCCAAAAATGTTCGAGTTTTACGAAAATGACAGCTTCAAAAGTGACATCTACCGAAATAACGGGCAATTCAAAATAACACCTCTTATTGGAAAACCCTTTACTTCTAATCTTTTTTTCTAAAGTACTGAGTTTTAATTAATTTAAGTTATAATTTCAGTATTAATAGTTTCTTTCGTTTTTGCTTATTTTTTCCATTCTTTTATTACCAGGCTATTTCCGGTCTGTCCCCTTTCTTCACAGACTTTTTTATCCTCTTCTCAGTCTCTGCTCAGTATTTTTCTTTTATTGTAAGTCTCTTCCAAATCTTCTTCCTTTCTGTTCAGTTCTTCTCTTTTCTGCCTGTATTCAATTTTTTTCTTCCATATCATCTTTATCTGGCGTTTTTCTTGTTTTTGCAGTCTCGTTCCTCCCCAAATTCTTTCCATTCATTACCAGTGCATGTTTAGTCACTATAATTTTTGCCTTCCCCTCTCTCTTAATTTCCATTAATTTCTACCTAACCTAAGTCTTTTCGTTCCATTCTCTTTTCATTCTTAATAATCTCTGCCCTGTTTATTCCATCTCTTTCTACTAGGTTTAGTTAGTTTCTTTCTTGCCTTTACAGCCTGTTTTTTTTTATCTTGTTTCTGAATTTCTTCTTTCTTTAAAGTCTTTAATTAGTCATATTTTTTTCATTAGTAGACTCTTTCCATATTTCCTCCTTTCTTCACTGCTTTTTTTCTATTTCCAGTCTCCGTTTAGTTTCGCTTCTTTATTACCAGTCTCATCAATAAACTTAATTTTTTCCAGTCTCTTTACAGTCCTCATCTTTNATTGACTTTTTTCTATTTCCAGTCTCCGTTTAGTTTCGCTTCTTTATTACCAGTCTCATCAATAAACTTCATTTTTTCCAGTCTCTTTACAGTCGTCATCTTTGTCTTGTTCTATTACTACTCTTTTCGGTCTCAATAATTTCTATTCAGTCCGCTTTTTCTCACATTTGCTTCTTTTTAGTCTTTTTTCGTCATTAATTTCTGCCAACTCTATTTTTTCTCTCATCAGACTCTCTTCTCTTTATTTCTACTATTATCAGTCTCTTTTCGTGTTTCTTTCCTCACTAGCTTGCGTTCTTTCTCTGTTTTCCATCTTTATTCATTATTTCTTAGGTGACCAGTCTTCTTATTGTCTAGATTCTTATTATTCTCTTTTTCTTCTGTTTCTAGTCTCTGCCAGTCTTCTTACTGTGTCGATATCCAATGCTCAATCTCATTTAACGCCTTCTAGTTTATATATTCTCTTTCTTTAANAGTAGACTCTTTCCATATTTCCTCCTTTCTTCACTGCTTTTTTTCTATTTCCAGTCTCCGTTTAGTTTCGCTTCTTTATTACCAGTCTCATCAATAAACTTAATTTTTTCCAGTCTCTTTACAGTCCTCATCTTTGTCTTGTTCTATTGCTAGTCTCTTTTCG